ATCATTTGAAAACCACTGTGTATAAATAGAAATGACTCCTTGTGGGACACAGAAAGCCCTTCCAGCCAGAGCTGCTTGGCTGGCCTGCATTACTCCACAGCTCTTCTACCTACCAAGAGATTTTAAATCCAAATGCAAATAGGGCCACATAACTTTTTGTTAATCTTAATTAATTTCTAACTAAATATTTGCTGATTTATAGAGTTTAAACCTCCCAAGACTGATTTAAACTTGGGGATTTAAAAATAAATCATCAGAAATCAAATACCCTAAATCATCATCTGTTGTTTCAACTGCTATTGTCAGAGAATGAGATCTGACTTTTTTCTATGACATTAGGCTGCTTTCTCAGGGATCTCCATCAATTCTCTCAACAGTCAGGATCCCTGCATCTATTCTAGTCTAAAAACAGGAATTGAAAAAGGAAAAAAATAAAAACCACAGATTACATACGTTTTGTATTTGTGACTGTGACTCCCCAGTGATGATGTTTTCCGCAACCAAGAGGATGCTTTTTTTTCTTCCCGACCAACTCCTTCCCTTCAGCTTGTACTTGCAGGAATTTTTGTGACTCAAATTTTTAAAAAAATACTTCAGTTTACCCATTAAGCACATTACCCTGGTTCGCTTGTTAATGGATCTAGCATTTTTATAGTTTACCAATACATATATTTCTAATTTTTTATAAGACCCACGTCTCTTTACTGGAATATGAGAATTTAACTACATTTGAAACATATTTTAAAAAAATAGACTTTTTAAGCTAAGTTTTTCATTTTTGTAACTCTAAATGATGGAACTATTTTTTTTAAACAACGTAATTTCTATACAAAGCCTAGTTTGAGACAATTGATGGTGGGGTAATGATCTAACCAGGTGGTCCAAATATGGCGTCTGCAGTATAAATTGGTTTGGAAAACAGTGTTCTGCCCTGTCTAGGTGCTATCTGAGGGTCAAGTCAGATCAATACAAAGTTATATATTTGGGTTTTTCACTTGAGCTGATTCGTATTATACTTTGGGCCTTTGATCAAAAATAAACATAGAGGATGTTATGGTGCATGGCCTAGAGTATCCCCTTCATGACTGAACCCCGTCCCCTCCCCCGACCCTGCTTTCCTCACTTTGCTTTGGCCCAGGTTCTGAAAGCAGCACCCCCCATTCCCCCGATAAACCTCCTGCAGGCAAGTCTCAGAGTATGTTTCCCGGCTAACCCAATTTAAGACAATAAATATTTTTTTAAAACACGAGGACTTTCACTGCATATTTTGCAAAAGCTGCTATTGGAATTTTGTTCAATATATCATTTAAGTCCTCCATGAAAAAATCTAGTTTATAACTTCTCAGATATTATTCTTAAAAATATTTGTATCTCTTCAGAACCTGTATGATTTAATTACTTAATAAGAAGTATGTATTAGGTTGAACCATAAGGAACTGACATTTTGTAGACCAAAAATGGCCAAAAGTCTGCAATTTCATAAGATTCCACCTAAGAATCTTTTTATTTTCCTTTTCCTTGGCTGCCAGGCTGCTCATGGGTAAATTTTGTACTTGATTATAAAATTAACCTTCCACCTACATTTTCTGGTGTAAATACCTCTCGCCACATTCATATCTCATATTTATTTACAATACTTTGGAAAATAGGGAACTATAAGTAAATAAATTCTTTTAAGTGAAATAAAACAGATTTCTGCACATAGACAAAACTTTGGACAAAAACCAACCATCATTATTTTTAGTTTGCAATAGCAGTATGTCAGAGTGATAATGTTGAGACATAATTCAGAGTTCTGGAGATATGATTTATCTATTGTTTTCCATAGCAAAATTTCCCGACATCTGGATGGTCTTAATCTCTTGACAGTCCAATGAACCAAATCACAATCTATAGCTGCTCCAGCCTTCTAGGTGAAGACTTCGGTATTCTGATTATGGTTTACCTGCTCAAGTAGATTCCCAGAGCTCTCTGTGGTTGCCATAGTTACTCATACACTATACTTTAATGACTCATTATTTCATTCATTCATTGAACACGTATGAACACATATTTTAAAATGCCTGCTGTGTGTGCCCTTCTCTGGGTTATGTATAGAAAGTATGGCAAAAAAAAAAAAAAAAGTATGGCAGTACAGCAGCCAGCGAGATAGACACAGTCCTTGCCCTTGGAGATCTCACATTTTTCTTCCCTGTCTAGACTGTGACTAGACTGCAAGCTCTTTGAAGGCAGACAAGGTGGTTAGTTCCCTTCCACCTTCAGTTCACCACTCAGTGCACACACACTTGGCACTCAAAAAATATTTCTTGAATAAGTGAATAAATGAACAATAGCAACTTATAATTTTGTTTACTTCACCCAACCACATACTGGGACCTTCAGTAAAACAAATCCAATAGATAGTTTTATGGTTGTGTCTTCAGACCCTAGGCAATTTAAAAGTATCTTAAAATTGGCTGCACATGGTTTAACTGGTGTTATACACTTAGCTGTCTCCATTGTTCTGATGTCAGTCCATGATTGGAAAAGACAGGGATTTTCTGGGGAGTGGTTTAATCACAGTCCATTGAACCTTCCCCTGCTCTCTAAGCTTTTAGACTCTTATGCTTACTTTACAGATGTTGTATAGGTAGGATCCAAGACAGTTCCCCCCGCCTGCTAAACCTTTGTGATTCCCTATAAATAACTGATAATTTAGGCAGAATTAGAGTTGGTTCCATTTTATATTTTATTCTGTGTCTGTATAGGGTGGTATCAAGAGGAGATGGTAGTCTTGCTTGGAGAAAGAAAAAATATCTGTGAGTTCCTTTTCATGACTAACATTTCTGACTGTCTCCCAGCTTCTCGTCTTCTTTCCTTTTGATCTTTTCATTTGAGATTTCCTTCCCTTTGCCACCCTATGCAGGACCATCTCTTTCCAACACCTGATTTATAACCATCTTCTCTTCCAATTAGTTTTTAAAAATCATGCTTTTTGTGGCACTTTTAATTCATTGTATACATGACTGAGGTTTTGCTTTGTATTCCAGTCATTTCGGTCAGGAGGCAATATTGTACAGTGTTTAGGGAGGCAGGCTCTGCATTCCACTTCCATCCCTCCCTAGCAGAGTGATAACAGGCACGTCCTTTAACCTCTCTAAGTCTCCATGGCTTCATCTCTGTGGTGCAATGGAGATACTAATGATACTTATCTCCTAAGGCTGTAACAAGGGTTAAATGAACCACTGTATGTAATTGCTTAGCACAGTGCCTGGTATCTGTTGCATATTACTATTATCATTATTATTGTTTTTGCTGTAGTTGATATTAACCTTGCCCAACTAGATCATAAACGCCCAGAGCCCTGGGATCACATTTACGACTTCTCTTGTACTCTTGATGTGACACAACATGCAATAAGTACTCTAATGGCTTTTAGAGTCAATGGATGAAAAGTGGAAAATGAATCAGTCAAAGAATGTTGTAAATTCCAATTCAACGTACTTTTCTTAGAACAAGAGATATTTTCCATTTGTAGGTATACAGTGTTCTTTAGCATTCAGTTACATTGTTTGAAAGATCATTCAGATTTGTGAATCTGGAAATGCTATTTATAATGTACATTTTGTAAATGTATACAGATTAAGAAGGATTAACTTAAAACTGGAGGATAATCTAAATAGCTACCCTAAAAAAATTACCACTGGCATTTTAATGAAATGTTATTCTACAACTTTAAAGCTCAAAGCAATATAATTAGTAATATGTGTAATCTTTATTACCAATCTTAATCTTTTTTATATGACTGAAAAATTATTTTATGGTAGTACAATTAAAATAATGCTAAAAATGTCAGCATAACAGAATTAAACTAAAGTAACTACTACAATATTGTACCCCAAACCAGCTAATTTAAATGCAAAATACTCTGTAAAGGCTATTTATCTGGGCTAATGCATGTTAAGGGATTTAAGGAGTAGTTTATGTAACTGATATAAAAGGAAAAATAAGCGCTGTACAGCAATCTTTACTATTGTTTAACATGAGGGAAATATTAAATAGGTTAATATATAGGCCACTTGAGGAAAATGTATTAGAAGCCAAATCCTAGCATAGTAAATATAAAGAGAACTGGCAGGCAGTACTATTTTCAGAGGTTTTTAATACGAAAGCTTGAAATGTTTAAAATTGTTCTTATACAAATAAATCGTTAACTGTGATGACTAGATTGAAGATGGCCAGAACTTTAAGTTTATGTTTTGAAAAAAGGATTTCAAAATACTGGACAGTTTAGTTAGCACATGACCCTGGTTAGATCTTTCTCTGACTGTTTCTTTCTGTCATTTCACAATCACTCTACCAAATTATTATTATTATAAAGTAAGAATATGGAAGGGTTTAAAAATAAGCTCAGTATAGAAATCTTGGAAAACATAGAAAAGTGAAAAAAAAATCACCTAGATTTTCACCACCCATAAAGCATCACACTTAATATTAATATATTAATTAACATGCTAATATTAATTAATTAATATATTAATATATATTTCTAGTTTCTGTTCCTTCAAGGATAATTTTTTAAAATTCTTGGTAAAAAATAGTGGTGATTATATCCCACGGAATATTTATATGTAATATAAAGGAATCCAAGAAATACGTATTACATAAAAATCACTAGTAACAGTGAATCGGCTGTGTTTTTCTTATGTTATTTTACGCCTCTCAAAATGTATTGCTGTTTATATATATTTTTTCCAAATTTTGTTTCAGTGGCATGTTATTTTGGGGGCTATTCCTAAAAATTTGGTTAGCATTTAAAATACTTTAGTAAAGTTTAAATTACTTCTTAAAAATTATCATCCATTAACATCTTATGTAAATTATGACAGAAGCATAGACTGTAAATTTGAGAGAAACTAGACATTATAGTGTGTTTATTGTCATAATTCAATTGTTGAAAGTGGAACTCTGATTTACCAGATGATGCTACACGTTGCATTTGTTTGTTTTCTGTTTTGTAGGTCTCAGCACACTTGGAAAGTCCTGCGAGGACTCAGCTACAGAAAGTCCAGAGGCAGCAAGTAAAACCCTTCATGACCCTTGACCACCAGATTGTCAACCAGACTCTTAAACGGTCACACCCTCCAACCCCAAGCAGTGCACTTCTGGTACAGCATGGACACCTGTCGCCCGAGAGTGACACTGGCTTCACTGGAAATCCGCTCACAAAGTTGCTAAGTCTTAGGAAAGAAGATGACAATGCGGAATGGCATGTATGTCTAATGGCTGCTTATAAAAATATATAATCAGTTTTTGGGAAAAAAACACTATTAAAGAAATTGAAGTTGACATTTTTATAGTACACATTCCAAATGCAAATTCAGTTCACAAAAGGGTTGTCTTTATTAATTTTTAATAATTAATAATACCTATATTAATTACTATGCATAATAAAATATAACAATCCATTTTTAGTATTCATTTCAGTTATGTATTAATGTGAGTCAAATGGCCTCTAACATTAAGAGACATCTGATGTTAAGAAGATTTAGCTTTAATTGTAAAGATTTTCTGGTAACTTTAGTTAAAATATTTATCGATAGTTATATTATCTTAGATACCCATTAAAATAAAACAGGCAGAAGTCGTTTAAATAGCAGTAAATACGTGCCCTAGAAATGTTCATTAGAATAAGACTATAGTCTTCTTGCACTTAATATTTTATGGAATTATATCTGGATTTTTTACTATCAATTATCTATTCATTTATTTCTATTTTCAACTAATACTTGCCTACCATTTACTAAATAATGGAAATTTACAGGTGTTGAGGATGCAAAACGAATAAGAGTGTCTATCCTAGTGGAGTTTATATTTATGATGATTTGCTTGTAAATGCACCTTTAAAAAATACTGAAATATGAATAGAACTGGGAATAACTAGAACTGAGAAAAAGATTTCCTTTAATTTCTCAATGCAGAAAAACTACATTAATAACTGAGATTTCTTGTCTTGTCTTTTTCTTTTTTTCCATTTGATTTGTTAGATGGAGCCATGGTCCTCTGATCTCCCAGGTTTAATCTCCCAATCTACATTTCTGGTGCTTATTACTGATTTCAGGTCGCTGCTTTTTAGCTATTAAGTCTGTAGCCTCCAGGTACAAAAGAGTAATGCTCAGTATCCCATTAGTTGAATTCCAAATGATAGAGGAAGATTCTTTTTTTACAAGTTTTATGTTAGTCTGGAAAAGGGAAAAGAACAAGGATCTGTTAGATTGTTTAATGAAATATAAAACAACCACAAAGAAGGACTTGAAATCCAAATCTGAGCATAAATCTCTACATGCGTTTTGCTTAAATTTTTCAGTAGTGGATATATAAAGAATTTTTCACACACAAAAAGATGAATATAGAACTAGGTTCTCTCTTCACTCTATGAGGATCATAAAAATATATTTAGGATAAAAATCATCTGCACAGTAAATATTAGAGCTCACCCAATACAATTTATCTTAGAACCACCTTCTTCCAAAGTTCACTTTATTGTGTGGGAGATTGATTTCTAAAGGGAAAAAAATCCAAAATGATATACATATGCCACTCAATTCTAGGCAAAACCCAGAAAATGATCTTATTGTGTATCTTATGAAATATGTTTTCTAAAAAATAAGAAAGAATAAGTAACATATATCAGTTTTTTCGATTTTTCTTAGTAAATATTTTTATTCCTAAGGCACACAGCTTACCTTTTCCTTTATAATAAATTTGTGCATTATAAAGGAAATTTACGTGATCTTAGTGGTCCTTCAAGTGGTATCAGTCAAAGGGAGTTGCATGGCTGGGAAAGGTTGAAATCCCCAAGAGGTATAGTGGGCTAGGAGCAATGTACACACTGACTACACATAAAATTTTTTCCACTTTTTTAACCATTGTACTTTAAACTATGTATGTAGAAGTCTCTTCCATCATTAATGTCCATTTAATCATAATTTTATTGTCAGTTATATTTTTAATCAGTGTGTGTTCACTTTGAATTTGACTTATCGAGTGCACGTTTTCACATACTGCCATCATTCACAGTCTTGTTATCTTTAATGGCTAGGGTGTATCCTAAGTTCTTGCAATTTCCTAATATTCTCTGATTGGTGCTAGGAGTCCATGACACAAAGCAGAAGGTGTGCGGTCTTTAAGGTCAGACAGCAGGGGATTAGAACCACTACTTGCTAGCTGTGTGGTCTGAACCCTTATGCTCTCTCACCAACAATTCTACACCTTGAAGAGTTGTTTTAATGCTTCCATTTTTAAAGTTCCTCATACAAGGACAGAGTGGGGGCTCAGGAGATGGTGGCAGTTGCCATCTTTTTGTGTTTCTTTCTACTAAGCTTGTCCTCCCGTGACAGCAGGGAACATTGCGTTAATTCAAAGAAGATCCCAGAAATCATGGCTGCCACAGAGTAAGTCTGTGAGAACATCTTTAGATTCAGTATTTAGGGGTTGGAATTAGGAGTAACTTGGTGATTGAAGGTCTCCAAGGCAACAAAATATAAAATCAAAAGAAGCACTTAATAGCATGTGTCTTTCTGGGATAAAATCCAAATTTGTACTCATGGCACACAGGACCCTTCTACACCTAACCCTCGCCTCCTGACACAAACTTATCATTTGGCATCCCCAGGTTGCTCTGTGCTTTAGCCATAGGAGTTCACTAGTAATTCTCATGGTGGCCAGGTTCTCTCTTCTTATATCCTTTCTTTATCAACTACTCATTCAATCTCTACCATTCGTCTAGATAATTCCAACTCACTCTTCAAAATTCATTTCAGGTTTCTTATCTAAGGTGCTTTTCCTGGTGGTTCTCTGTGTGGATTAGGTGCCTATTCTCTGACTTTACATAGTAACACCTATATCATATGGATAGAAATTGTACTTATAGCATTTTCACAGCTCATGATACATTTTAATTATTTATTATCTTATTTTTCTTATCCACTGTACCCTCTAGGAGCTCCAAGTTGAGGGGAGGAGAAAAAAAGTAAGCAAATAATTATAATATTATGTAGAAAGGGCAATGGGATAATAGGAGCACAGAAGTGCTGTTCTTATCAGAAGTATATCAATAGTAAGACTTCGAGGATGATGGCTAGTAGGGCATTTGGCCAGGTGAGATAGCATAAGCAAAGAATAGAGATGGGAAACAGCATGAGGTGAGCAAAAATGAGAGGCACATGGTGGTAAAAGGTGACACCAGAGAAGTAGGTAACAGACAAATCACAGAAAGGCTGACACTCCATGTTAAGCAACATCAAATCCTTGAAGGGCTTTCTCTTGTGAGGGCTGGGGTGGCATAATCAGATTTGACTTTAATATCGCTCTGTCAGCTGTGTGGTGGAAAAAGCCTGGAGGGAGGGCAGGTTATTTCCATAACACAGTGAGAGGTGATGGAGTTGATTAGAACACGTTAGAGCTGAGGTATCTGTGAGAGCATCATACGGAGATGTTGGTTTGCCTTGAGGAGAAAGAATCTAGACCAGAGGAAGAGATTTGAGAGTTGTCAGCATGTAGGTGGTACTAGAAAACTTGAATGAGAAAGAGAGCTGGAGAACATGAATATAGAGAAGAGAGTGGTGAGCCAAGGGTAGGATTGAGGAGATCACCAACATTTAAGGGGTAGTCAGAGGAGAGGGGCCGTGAAGGTAAAGTATAAGGATAACCAGGAGAGTGTGGTGTCCCTGAAGCCAAAGATAGAGTTAGTTTAAAAATGGAAGGAATGATCCACATGCTCAAATGTAGCAGCTGAGTCCAATAAAATATGGACTGATAAATATCTATTGAATTTGGCAGTCAAAGAAAATAGCAACAAAAGGAATTTTGGTAGGATGGTTGGCAGAAAGCATTCTACCTTGAATTCAGAGTTAACAGGAGATGAAGAGATTAAACTCCTGGTATGTTTGGGATGGTTGGGAAGAAAGATACTAGGGCAAAGGCATAGAGGGTCATAAAGTGAAAATTGTTCAGTTGATCTGCCACAGCGTCTAGACTGGATCTAAAGGAAGATTGCATTTAATGAGTGAGATAATGGAATTTAAGATTTCAGAAATGAAGCAGTTTAGAGGATGAGAAGATCCAAGGCATGGGCTGGAGAATAGGTAAAGAAAAGGCTAAATTCAGATTCATGATTTTGAGAGGGCTGAGCTAAAATATTCAGCATTATTTTGCCATACAATGCTGACTGTTGTTGCTGTAGACGTTTTTAGGTGCAATGTGCATTCCTTTGTCCTTGAACCTCATCCTCTCTATGCCTATTACCTCCATTTTGATTTTAGTCAAAAGAATTTATTCCTTCTTTGTATTTCATTTCATTTATCACTCTGAAGTACTTATTACGCTGACTTGTAATTCTTTTGTCTAATCTTTTAATTCTGTTTCATCTGATATAAAATGTTGTGTTTGTTGTCTTTTTTAAAGTAACAACTGGATTCTGTAGTGATTAATTATGAAGATTCCTGGAAGCTGTGAAGCAAATTTTAACTCTTAAAATCAATTTAGGATAATGGAAGAACCAATATCTTCAATAAATTAGAGAAATATATAGTCTTGTATGTAGACGACAGAAACGAGGGATGGAGGTGTTGAAGGCAAAAGCAGAGCCTCCAAGAAGGAAGAACATTCATATATAGGAAAGAAAGATTTCCTTCTGGAAGAGGAGAAACCTAAGCATGTTTATAGGCAAGAGGGAAAAATTAGAGATTCAAAAGACTGGATCATTTATAATGTAAGCTTCCAGAAAGAAAAGGGATAAATGACTTACGTGTAATTTTACTGAAACTATCAGAAGTACCCCAAAGAAAAGCATTTACCATAAATTATGCATAATTAGTATCCTTCTTCCCTTCGGTCTTCTTCACATCTGTTCAGTGTAAATTTGTTGTCCATTTAATGGCGGAATGTGAATGAAAGAAATATAGTGAAATTAAAATTTGAGTTTAGTAACAATCAATAATGTACTTTAAAACCTTCAGAGACTGGACAAACCAAAAGATACAAAACATGCATATGTATTATCCTAGATCCTTTAAAGATCTCTCAATGCACACAGAATTACATCTAAAGTCCAGACCATGGCCTCTGGCTACACTTTTGGATATGGTACCCACTAGCCACATGTGGCTCTTTGAATTTAATTTTAAATTAATTCAAATTCAACGCAATCTTCAAAAATTGAATGAAAGAAAAAATTTAGTTCCTCAGTTATACTAGCTACATTTCAAGTGCTCAGTAGCCATATGTGGTAACTTGCTACTGTATTGAATAGTACAGACATAGGATGTTCCCATTATTGCAGAAATTTTTGTTGGACTCCATTGGTCCAAAGGGTTGTACAATGTAAGTTCCTTGCTTACTTTTCAGCTTTATCTCAAATCTCTCTTGCCCTTGCTCACTCCGCTCCATTCCCATTGGCCCTCTCACTCTTTCTCGTACACTCTGAGTTTATTCCTACCTTACAGTCTTATTTTCTGCTTCCTTTCCAAGGACTATCCTTCTCCATCTTATTCATGTCTCTGTTCAAATATTGGTAAATCCTTTTCTGACCATTTTCTAAAATAACACTCATTCCCATTAAACTCTATCCACCTACCTGCTTTAATTTCTTCAGACCACTGTTTGTTATGAAGCTGTTTATTGTCTATTTCCTCAATAGAGTTTGAGCTCCATGAGGGCAGAGACTTTGTGCTGTTTGCTTTTATAGCTCCAGTACCTACAACAAGGTCTTGCAACAAATATCGCTCAATAAATATTGTTAAATTAATATATGAATAGTGTTCCAATTTTTTTGGCATATCACCTTTGGAAGTATCTTTGTAGAAGTCTTTGAACATTTGATTTTATAAGGTTCTCAGAAATCTTGCTTAGAAAATAACATTAACATAATCATAAAATAATTTTATATCTCTTCCAGAATTTACTCCTGGCTGTTTCTGCACATCTTGGGAAATTCAGAGTACTACAGTTATATAAATTCAGCATTCTCATGATCTTTGAGTTTACATCATATTTAAAATTTCACTACAGAGAATATGATGGGAGAGAAGAGAGCTAGAGCTAGAGAAGAGAGAGAAGAAAAGGGGGGCAAGCATGCTATTTTAAAAATGTAAGGTTTTTAAATCTCCTCCAGCTAATGTATAGAAAAGAAGGAAGACTATTTTAGAAAGGAGTTGAGAAAGGGAGTAGAAAGCTGATTTAAATTAGGACTACAGAGCCCGATTTCCAGGATTTCAATCCTGCCTCTGTTACTCACTAGCTATATAATCTGGAGCAAGTTATTGAATTTCTTTTTCTCTGAGTTTCCTCATCTGTGCAATGGAGATAATGACGGTATCCACCTCATAGGATTGTTGTGAAGAGTAAATGAGCTGATGTATGCAGAGCACATAGAACAGTGCCTGGCACATCTGCTGCACTGTCACTTTTAATGTTTCAAGTGTCTATGATTATCATTGTTGTTGTTATTATTGCTGTTATTGTTATTGGTCATTAGGGAAAGTTGGATAATATGTTTACATGTAGTTGTATCCATGTGGACTAATCAGCTAAAGTTCAACCACTGATGTTTGGATATCTACCTGTAAGATGCAATCAGAACATTTTAAAAGAAAAATAAAGTTTGTAGGAAGTCATCTCTCTACATGTTAAGTACATGGGGTCTGGCTTGAGGTACATCGTGGTAACCACTTGGTTTATATAGATACTGATTTCCAAGGGACCAGCCCAGGGCAATGTGCCCAGCCACCACCTGCCAGCGGTGGAAGCAAAGGCAAGGAAAAGCAGCACAGGGCAAGGGGTGTCAGGAGTACTTCATTTTACGTTCTAAAATATTCTGGGTTTTGATACACCTATAACCTTAATTTATATATGCTAAAAAATACTTTTAAAGATTGCTGAAATGTTTCTTTCTAAATTCAGGCTGAAGTACAACCTTTATCATTACGTGCAGTATTCTAAATGTATTATATTTTGCTAGATGGAGGACGTTATTGAGGATATAATCGGTATGGAATCAAGTTTTAAAGAGGAAGGAACAGACTCTCCTCTGCTAATGCAAAGAACAGTAAGTGTTTCCAGACCTGAGGAGGTCAATTAGAACGAAATACATAATAGCTGCTGATGATAAAAAAGAAATTTATTTGATTAGCAAATGGTGCTTTCTTCTGTACTTTTGGAACAGACACAAGATCACAGAGGAATATTAGAAAATATTTATTGGTGCAGGAAAAAGATTCTATAATGTTATTGAGGAAGATAGATGATAGGGCTTGTACTATCCTATCTATCTATCATCTATCTATCTACCTATCTACCTACCTACCTACCTACCTACCTATCTATCACAAATTCCTGGGATATTATGTAATGAAGGGATGATATCTCCTATTTGATTGCTGTTGTCTTCTCATTGTTCATTTGTTAATTACTAAAAATGTTATCTGTATAGGGTGTGCAAGCTCTTTCCACACATTTTGAAGGGTTATTTTGGGTTTGTTTGTTTATGGTTTTAGATCTTTTAGAAAACATGAGAAAAAATATGAAAGATTATAATTGAATTGCTACTTTAAACATTTCACTTAAAGAAAGTGAATTCTGAATATAATGCATAGTGTGGATACTTTTTATCAGCAAATCAATGGGCAGGTCTATGTTAATGATGGACCTCTTAAATTTAAGACCTTAAGAAAAAATTGGAGAAAGCACCCCTTTTTTCTTTATTAATTCCCAAATAGACTATCTAAAAAGAGAAATATCTCTTTCTTCCACTTCTATGGTATGCAGGACCTCTACTTTATAACGAGTCACTAATACTGGTATTATCTGACAAAGATCAAATGAGGTTTAAAACTTTGTGTTTTTTACAGACTTTTTGTTTAGAAGGGAGCGACAATTCTTTCTACCTCTTGTCTTCAGATTTCAAGCAGTATAGTGAGATGAAATCTAACCAATTTTCTAGATAAATATGTTATTAATGCTAATTTCTGCCTGTCTAATTTCATAGCATGAGTATACAATTTTCTTAACCGGTATTCAACTTCTGGGTTTGAGGAAATGACATTAATTTCCCACAATCTTCTCTCTCTTGAATGTGGTACTTACTTCATTGAAATTATATATTGAAACGTTCTCTTTGTCAGATTATCTTACTTGTTTTGTAGAGGCTGCATAGAATGGCTTACTCAGTACAAATTGGTGGCAATAGCCATCCTGAATTTGCTTTTGATATACAGAATGTACTTTTAAAAAGATAGATACTACTGGCCTATCTGTAGTTATATAAAGAAATACCTGCTGTTGACCCATTAGCAATCATTGATCAATCTAGGTCTACATATAAAACCAAGCAGTTCAATTAACCAAATATTTATTATGTGCAAAGCATAATACATACACCATAGGAAACTAAAAATTGAGACACAATTCACAAGTCATGAGGCCACTTGACAGTGGGGCAGGGCAGTGTGGCCCACCTGAGAGGCAGGAGGGAAAGAGTGCGGATCTTGGTGTTAAACCCAGGTCCTAATCTAGACAGTGGGTAAGTCACTTAAACTCTCTTTGCTTTGCTTTCTTCTGCATTAAGAGAATAATAAAAATATTAGTCTCCAAGGCTGTTTTTATATTAAATCTTGCTAGACTACAGGTGTATATTTTAAATGCTCGTCAGAGTGTTGCTCTGGAGTTTGAGGGAGAAACCATGTTAAATTGAGATTTTTTGGGAAATGCTTTATGAAAAGATGATGTTTGAAATATATTTATGAAAGGTGGTTAAGATTTTAAGAGGAAGATATGAAGGCAGAAAAGTAGCAAGTCAAGAGAACAACATAAGACAAGGCAGCAGTGAGAAAAAAAGAGAATATATCAGAATGGCTGGTAGAACAGAGGTAGGAAACTATATAAAAAACTATTAAAGAAAAGAATTTTTATAGTTCATGTGGATAAAAATAAAGACCTGTTTGATTCAGAGGAATGCTTTGAGTAAGCACATTAGCTAGGGAACTTTTGGCTGCAGATGGTGGAACCTAGCTCATTTGGGGCTTAAGAATGAAAGGAATTTGTTGGTTCACGTCATCTAAAAATTCCTAAGTAATATTGTATGTAGACATTCCTCCATAAAACTTTGCTTTTGTTTTCTTCTGTGCTGGCTTTACTCTCAGCTGCTGAGCAGACACTATCATAGCACATTCCTAGCTGTGCACACAGTTCTTTCTTGCTAACCCAGTTTTTTTTTTCAGACATTCACTCCTTCACAAGAAGGAGGAAGTTTCTGATTAATTTAAGCCAACCCTGGTGGCCCCATTTCCCTCATCAGAGATTGTTTTAAGCATGCGCTTGTCTTGCAATTCTGGCATGTTGAGCAGGTTACTGGGGCCTTCCAGGAATTTTCTTCAGTCTTTAAAAGAAACCCAAGAAAGAGAAGATTTTTGCCTCTCCATGATGTTGTAAGACAATGTGACTTATGTAGTCATTTTGTGGCTCAGAAGGTAAATAAACTAAGGATAAACAAAAGAAAAGGAAAGGAAAAGCCAAGAGAAATGCAAAGAAATGCTGCTTATATGCCCCTGGAGAATTCTTTACCTAAGGATTTCACATTATGTAAATTTTTTTTCCTTTATTTTATAAGCTAGTTGTGTCAGGATTTTTTGATTGTCATAACCAAATGCATCCTAATGAATACATTTGGCCAGGCTTGTCAACCTAAGAGAAGGACAGCTTCCTTTTCTCCTTAGTTCCAGTTCAATTCTTGGGATAATTCTTATTGGAGCAAGTTCTTTCATATATCTATCCCTAAGCCAATTTCTCTGGGTCTTGGGCCCACCCTAGGGCTGTGGATTGAGCAGCCCTACACAACAAATTACCTAGACTAAGAGTGAGAACCAGGAGAATAGGCATTTTTACCAAAATAAATGTGAATGAATTCTAGAGACGCTCAACCAACAGATATCCATTATGGTAAGCTTCAAAAGTGAGAATATTTATCAATAGTAATAATTATTATTGGTTTCTCACCTCTATATGGCAGGTACTTTTCTAATTATTTTACATATATTTTCTCTTGTTCTCAGAGAAATATGTGAAGTCTCAGGGGCGATCTATTGGGTGGGCTATTAGTCACTTTGGGGCTCCCTGGCTGGAGCCTAAGCAGAAAACCTTGGATGTCACTTAGCTAAGATTTATCCAAGGACCACTGCACATAGGCTTAACTAAATGTCATGTTATAACTTCTGTGGGTGGGAAACTTGGAAGCTGCTGAGGGGAAGCTTGGACCACTTGTGATGGTTCTTCAAATTTATCCAGGTTGAGTGAAGTAGTTCAAGGTTTTCATGGACCAATTTAGCCCAGGTATTTCTGACCCAGAAGTGAATGTTCAGTGATTAGTGACTAGACTCTGAATAGTTAAGCAGAAGCTACCTCTCAATTCTATTTGATCAAGAGAGTTAGTCACCTGTCAATTAGCTCTTATTGCAACAACTATGTAAACTGGACTGAAAAGAGCCCAAGTGCAAGGAATATTCAGCCCAATTGGTCATTCTTGCATTAACACCTCGACCTCTCAGTTTCTCAATCTCTTTAATGTCAATGATATTTTTCTCCTCCCTATTTAGTCATCTCCTCACATGATGATATCTTAGATCTTGTTATCGCCAATTCCTCTATCTCATAACATTTTTATTTCACACATTTTGACCATTATATTCTATTTTTTCGGTGTACCCACTCTAGTGCTCTTACTTCACCAATTGTTCAAACTTGTGGAGACTCCAAATCAATGGACTCTATCACTGTTTTCAGTGGCTATTACTTCCCACTCACAACATTTTGGAAATTTATTCCTTAACCTGTCTAATGTCCTTGCTCAAACACTGTAACTAATTCTCTTGCAAACACTCTTAACATGTCCCCATTTTCCTTCATTTTACTTTCCCAGCAAAACCGCAACCCAACTCATTTCTCATCTTACTCTGCATCTTAACCCAAGCAGCTGAGGGGCTAATATTTCACCACATTAGTCATTATACTCAACTCAAATATATCACCAAAATTTCACAGGGGCTTTCACTACTACCAGACAATACTACAGCTATTCCCTAGTGAAAAGTCCCATTAATTGAGATAACTCTTTTATACTTTCTCTCCTCAAATTTCCATAATTCCCCATCCATTCTCCATTCCTCAGCTGATTTCTCTTTCACAGCATATTTTAGAGAGAAAATATATGCAATCAGATTAGGATTTACGCATTAGCTTTGGTTCACCAATTCTATTAAACCACTTGCATCTATTTTCATTTTTTTCTGCCATCCCTTCTATTACAATAGAATAATTGTCCCAGCCCATAATTTAAAGCCAGCCTCACCACTTGTGTCCTGGATCCCACTCATTCTTACCTTCCCAAGGAATTTCCTTCTCTAAATAGCTCTTTCTTTTCGTATATAATCGGCATATTCTGATCTATTGGATTATTAATATCAGCATTACATTAGTCTTTAATAACACTCCCTGAAAATCAAAACAAACCAAATTCCTTTTGAGCACATTTCCTTTCTAACTACCATGTCATTTCACAACTCCCTTACCCACCTAAAACTCTCTACTTCCATTTTCTCCCTGCCTCCATTTCCTCACCTCCCATTCTCTACTCTCTAATAGAGCTTTTGTCTTCATAATTCTAAAAGAGCTCTTAAAACCAACCAATGCAGAAGCCAATAGTAAATTCTCCCTTCTCATCTGACTTGGCTTTTCAGTGGCATTTGCCATGGTAGACCACTCCCTCCTTCTTGAAGCACAATATGGGCTTCTGGGCACCATACTTTCTGTTTTTCCACCCACCTTGCAGGTTCTTTCTCCTCTAAAACAGATGTCTAAATGCTAAAATGTCCCAAGGCTCAGTCTTCAGCCGTCTTTTCTCGTGTATCTATATACCTTATAGGTGATCCCAACCCATCTCCAGCTGGACATCTCCTCTATATGCCAGACTCAAATATCCTGCTGCTTGCTTGACACGTTTTGTGCTTTTAACAGACATCTCAAACTTACAATGACTAAAAAGAAGCTTTTGCACCC